AGTACGGCCGCAGGCCACAGGGACATGAGCCGAACCCGGACTTGCACGCAGGAGCTCTCACCCACCACTGCCCTCCCTCCCCTTTGTTTGAGCATTACAAGCCCTGCACCCGGGCTCCACTGGTCAGTGCTACCAAGCTCAGGGAGATGCTCACCTGGCACCTCCATCTGAGCATGAACCAGCACCTTTTGCAAACATGCAAAATGCCTGCAAATTTCTGCAAACATTGTTTGCAATATTTTTTTTTTGCAAACAATTTTTGCAAAGGTGTTTTTTGGGTTTTTTGTTTTTTGTTTTTTTTTTTTTTAAATGGGGAAATGCCCCCGAAGTCAACCCATGCATCAAACCGAATTAAGTTCATCAAATCCAGCTGTTCAGAAGGAGCGGGCAAGGGGACCCTGGAGGGGTGAACACAGGCACGGCCCCGGGGCTCAGCCAGAACTTGCCTGCAGGCTGGGGCAGCTCTGGGAGCGCAGGCACACGGCTGCGGCCAGGCACTGAGCCCAACACCGGCACCAGGCAGCACCAAGCACCTCCCTGGGGACGTTGCAGACACACATGGACAGAAACGGCGGCCCACTGCTGTCTCAGCATCATGGCAGACAATGTGCCAAGGCTCTGGCTGGCCAGAAGACTCCAAAAGACGGCAACAAATTCAACAGCATCCCTGCATCAGCTCCCTGGCTCCCCGCTGGCTGGCACCACAGTGGTGCTGCAGAGGCTCCCCAGGCTGACGGCCGGCGCACAGCCCCGGCCCTTCCCTGCAGGTTTTGGGGAGCTGGCTCGTGCAACCTCTCTGGACGCAGCATCCTCTCCCGGCCAGGAGCCCACATTGGGGCTACCCATTTGTCAGGGAACCCTTTCCTCTGGCTTTTTAGCTCCCATGCTGCCAGAGACATTTCTGTCCCACTGGGTCAAAAACATGTATCTGCCTTATTTCAAGCCAAAAGGTACATACCCCTACTCCTCCTCCCCCAAATCTTAAAGGAAACTGTATTTAAAATTTCTAACCCCCCTCCACACATGAAAAACAAAACTTCAGTGATGGCAGAAGCTGCCGTCAATCCTGTACCAGGACAAAACCATGGGTAGCCTTGCAAGAGCGGGACATCTTCCTGTGCTGGCAAGCTCCCAGTAGAAGCTTTGCTCCAGAAAACACAGCAAACCAAAGCTCAGAGCTCTGTCTCCCTCCAAACCTCTGCCACCATAAGGCTGTAGCCTGCGGTGAAACCCAGACGTAGGCACCAAAAGCAGCAGGTTCCCAGACCGCCATGAGGCTGAGCAGGAGGAGAAGGACCGCCAGCCCCGCCACTGGGAAGCATGCGTTGAGGCGTCAAAATGCAACGCTCCCAAAGGAAAAATAAATAAAGAATAGAATCAGCAGCAAACCCTACTGAGAATAAGAAGCAGCACAGGGATTTCACAGGGATTTTTGGTCTAAGATGCCTGGGGAACCCCTTCGCTGGCAGGGATCGGGTTGCACATCCCACCCTGGAAAAGCACAAGCTGTGGCTGAAGCTTTGCAGGAGCTTGGCTGCGCTCTGCAAAGCAATGCCGCAGGGATGTGCCGGCACACCACGGGAAGCAAAGCAGCATTGGGCTGGGTGCCTTGACAGCCAGGCCAAGGGCAGCACTGCTAATAATGCAGAAAAGGCTTTGCACAGAAGTGCCGAACACAGCTACACTCCCCAGGCTCTCCTGGCAGCGGGACAGAAGTCGGGACCCTCCCAGTGGGAATTACCCGCATCCCCAGGGCAGCGCAAACCTCCCATCGTGCAAAGGCAGGGGTGCGAGCCAGAGTTCGGAGCCGAGAAAGGAGTGAAAGCCGTAACCATCTGCCCAGGAGCGACAGGGCACCTGGGACCTTGGCAGCACAGCTGCAGCTTTTGCTTCCGCTGCATCCCAAGGGTGAGATGTCAGGAATTGCAGGTCGCAGCCCACAGCATCACACTGCCCTGCGGACCAGACGATGCCAACGATCCAGGCAGCAAGAGGTGAGGAGAAACGCAAATAAAGTCTCCTGTTATCCCCCAAGCACCTGCAGTAGCAGCAGTGACCAGGCAGCACGCTTGCCTCCTCCTTCCCACACAAACCCAGGCCCGTCCCACGCAGCCTCTGCTCACATCCCTGCCTCCAATCCACAGAGTGACCCCCATCCCTGTGGAGTTACCGCAAGGCACACCATTCCCTCCCTGCCAGCATCCCGCCGGTATCTACCCTGCTCCCTGGGTGGCTGAGGAAAAGAAGGGTCTCCATGTGAGTTGCCATTTGCGTGGAAAATGAGCAAGCACGCAATTTCTCACAAGGGAGTTATGTCTGCAGCGGAAGTGTGCAAATCCCAGGGTACCCAAGCTGGTTTGAGTACCCCACACACACAGTCAGCAAGCGCCTGGGCTGGGCGAACAGGCACCACTCCCGATTTCTTACTCAGCTGAGAATCGGCTTTGCTTCCATAA